TTGCCTTATCATTCTTGGAGTCTTTGTTGGATCTTGATTGGAGTCTTGAATTCCTGCTAATTTTGGAAGTCTTGCCTTATCATTCTTGGAGTCTTATCTTGACTTGCCCTTATCCTAGGAGTTGCCGCCCCTAGGGTGCGATGGGCCTTGTGATGGGCCTCCATCATTAATACTTCCACCCAAGGTTCAAAGTATCGATACGATACGAGTTTCGGCCGTATTGTATCAACACTTGGAAATGGCCGAAACTTTATTTTTTTTAGTTTTTTTTTTCAAAGTTTGTTTTTTTGAAAAGCTTCTAACCTGTTTTTTATTATTAAAAAAAATTGGGGGTCTGAAACACCTAGAAACAGGCGTTTCGGACCGTATCATTTTCGAAAGATACAATACAATACGCCTGATACGGGGCGTATCGTATTGATACTTTGAACCATGCTTCCACCCACTTCACTTATCAAAAAAAAAAAAAAATCCGCCCACTTTCTTTTTCTTCTTCTCCTATCTCTTCTATCCCCTTCAATTTGTAATAGATGATTTTTCCTAGCAGTTGGTGTAAGTGGTCTTCTATGCACATGACCAAACCATCTCAATCTACTCTCATTTTATCACCTATTGGTGCTATTCAAGGTTCCTTTGTATGACTTCATTTTTAACCATGGCCTTTCTGCCTGTGGACATGCTGTTTCATAACTACCCAAAACTCTCCTCCTTACTGTATAGCTGGCCTTGTAACTATTTATAGAAWTTTCCTTTTAGGAATGGTGGTGTTCACCTATCATACAAGACACCAGATGCACCTCTCAAGTTTGGCCATTCTGGTCTAATTGTATTTACAACATCCTCCACAAATCTCTCCATTGTTATGTATAATTGAACCAAGGTAACAAAGGAGGTAAAATAAGGTTATATCTTGCTCTCCAAACCTAAGTGCACCCTAAATTGCACTCCTATTATTATTAATTTTACATTGCTTATAATCTGTTTTACTCCTTGTTATTTTAATGCCTTTTGTTTCTAATGCAATTTTACATAAACCTAATTTTGCATTTAATCCTTTTGTAGTTTCATCAATTAATTCTATGCCATCAGAAAAGAATGATAGGAAACAAATTATTAAAGAAAAAAGAGAAGAAAGTATAGATATGATCAACAAATTTACCATGGCTTGACTGGTTTGATATTTATTGTGATCTCCATGCTAATATTTCCTTCTGAATTAAGCTTAAATTCGATAATTATTGTGGTCATACGAGAGATTGGAGGAATAACTATATGTTGATCAAATGGTTGAAAATTAGATATGATTGGAGTGTGGCATCCTCAAGATTTTTCTATTGACTTTGTTCTGTATCATSGCACCAAAAGGAATGATTACATCTGAGATTGTGATTTTGTCTTTTTTAATGTTGTCGGTTGTAAATTCCTTTTAGTAGTATATTAATAATTGAACACTGTTATTCTATTTTTCTTTGTTGACTTGTGGATGGGCAGGAGGATGCTCAGGCACTTGTTTCTAGGCTGTTGGATCAATTGATGACTAGTGATAAATATGGGGAACGCCGTGGAGCTGCATTTGGACTTGCTGGTGTTGTTAAAGGATTTGGAATTTCTTCGCTGAAAAAGTATGGAATTGTTGCTGTATTAAGAGGAGGCCTGGAAGACAGGTTTGTCTCCTTTCCAGTTGATAACCGACTTATTTTGCACTTTCCTTTCCAGTATGTTCCATTGTTTGGTGACCTTGATCACTGTATCATTGAGTTAATGATTTTTGTTTGGAAATTTATGCACATATTCAAACTTCTACAAGAATCAATATTGTCTACATGTTTTGTTTTATTTTATTTTTTGTCTTTGCATCTTTCTGATGCCATGGTCAAAAACCTTGTTGATCTTTTTATTTGTACCAAAACATTATTGATAAGATAATTAGTCTTGCTATCTTGGCTCTTTGTGTTGATTTTTGAAAAGATCATGAGGTGGCATGGAAACCCAAAATCGTGCCTTTAGCTTTTCTTTATTACCTAGAAAGGTCATGTTGTACTTTCAGGGCTAGTGCAAAGGTTGCAAATTACAGAAAATGAAAATGTCACAACTAGAACAGGGCACCTTGCTTTACTCTCTGTCATTTTAATTCTTTACATAAAAAACGAAAGTAATGGTGTCTACAGCATGTATGTTGCAAAGTGTGTACATTTTAAGGGCCGGTTTTCCTAATGTTTGGTATTTATATAGGTTTCATATGATGTAGCTCGGAACTAGGGTGTGCAAACTTTGCCTTGTTTGTCTGGGTTTAGAGTCAACTCAGTGAAAAGCTTGAGCTGGTCAACCCATGCCTAGCTTGAGTTAAACTTTAACAAGCTTGGRTTGTGCTTGATCCTGTTGGAACTTGGAACTGATGGTCTGTATCATATGTAGTTTCGTCATTATCATAGAAGACACTATTCAGAAAGCACAAGGCGCAAGACCTAGTGGGTTGATGTTCTGATGTGTTCTGATGTGTATATAAAGTTGGGTGGGTTGATGCTGGATTGGGTCCAAGACCTGATTCCAGGCCAAGCCCAAGGACTGAAAATCCAAAACCAGTCAATGTAAAATGTCAGATGGGGTTGTGATGGGCTTGGTTTGTGACTCCCCAAGTTACACCATTGGTCAATAAAGTGCAGTTATGCTTAAAGTGTATAAGAGCATCTCTTCTATGGACTATTTGGGAAGAGAGAAATTCCAGAATTATTCAGGTGAAGGAAAGAACCATTCTTGAGGTCAAGGAGTGTATTTTTTTTTTTTTTTTTTGATCAATAACAGAATGCTTTATTAGATTATAAAAATTGTGAAACTTGTCTGCAGTTGCCCTCTCTTCTAAGAAGCCTAGA